ACACTTCAGTGTATATTGCTGACTTGTGGGAAACATTTATCACTTATTGAGAAATGCATTATTTTATTATACATGAACATTACAGATAAAAATTATTTTTCAACAAATAAAATAACTATCAAATCTTAAAAAAAATCAATCATCAATATTAATAATTGTATTGAAACTACATGTATTACTAATCTAATGTTTACAAGTCTTTTAAATCAAAGCACATTAATTTTAAAAACATTTGTTTTCCTTCACTAGATTTAAAACAAATTGCAAATTTTAATTTTCTCAGGTAAAAAAAATGTTTTCAATTCAAAAATAATAAGTATGTTGAAAAGGATAAAAAGTCATAAAATCAGGAGACAGTATATATAAGTATTAATTTAATCATTGATGGATTTAATTGGCCAATGACTAATTATTATTAACCAAATTTTGATTATATTTTGTAAAATTTTCTGAGTATTGTTACACAGTTAGCATGGTTAGCACACATGTATATTTTCTGACAACTTCTCAGCATGTTCATGAGGCTTTTAACCTACTTTGAAATCATGAACAAGGACCAAATTTTTTTTTTATTTTAGATATACCGGTTTATATACTTCTATGTACATGTGTTAGGCTTCATAACATACATGATATCAGCATGCTTTTTTTTTTTATTATTTCTGTTTTTAGAGCAACGGAAGTACTGTAAACCAACTTTTATTTGAGTGCAAGAAATATTTGCCAGTTTCATGACCTACATTTACTAGTGAATAGTAAATTATTAATTGCCCTGAACTATTAATTTTGCTTTATATTTGTAGAGAATGTTTCCTTTCATTAGTCACGGAAATTAATCAACACAGATCAGATATGCAAATAAAAGATGACACAAATAGGGTACATGTGTACTACCTGGTAGTTGGTTTACAGTACTGCTCACATATAGAGTTCAAAATGAGATTTTACAGCTATCTTGACTTACCAATACTAAATCCTTCTGTTTCCATACACAAATCCAGACAAAATGCTTTCAGTTAAAATACTCTAGTTCTTTACATCCTTCATGTCCATGCAAGTGTGTCTGTTGACTTTGACTCCAAGTCTCAGTCTCTAACATTTTCAAGAATAAAGTTGTATAATTTGCTCTTGTGGTGAAAACCCGAAAACCTGCAATGATAATTTTGCTTTCAGTTCAAAGATTTCATTGTATATTTTTTTTAAAGTGTTCATATCTTTACCTATAATTACAAGACAGGTATATCTCCACATCACTCAATAGTAATTTTTGACCCCATGCGGCATGCCAAAATTAAGACTTAATGTATGCCTTAATTTGCTGAACCATATTGTTAACAGTGGGTAGGTAGGTATGAAAAATATTTTACTTTTTTCCTTCTTGTGACATGGCCCAGAGAGCTTTCCCTTTTAAATCAACCGTACAATAACTGTGAAACAGAACACTTTCTCGTGGATGTTTGATGAGCAGAAACTGTTTTATATGCAAAAAATCAACGATACAGTACAACTTATTTTAGGAATGACAGAAAACTGAATCAATACCTTAAATGATAGTCATTGAAATTGCATGATAGTGCTGTTAGTATTTATTTAAATTTAATTAAAATGAGAATAGAAATTTACAGCGTAAAGTTACCAGAGGCAGATTAAAAATTTTTAGAAAGGAGGAGTGGGTGCAGAAATCAAATGGTTTTCTTAAAAAAAAAAAATAAAAGACCAAAATCAAGAAGCATTATCAGACCCAAAACTTTGAGCGCGATCGTTATATGTAAATAAATTTAAAAAGGTATAGATTCAGTTAAGCAAATATAAATAATTATGAATAATAGATATTGAATCATAAAATCTCAACATTACCTTTCAATTTTATAACCAATTTCAAATTTTTAATATGCTCGCTATCATAAAAGCTGATCTAATTGTTATTCCTATGTTTCTCCATTTTCTCCAATTCGCATTATTTTGTATACCACGCCCAATCATAATTCAATAGTAATTGAGGTTTTGAAAAGGATTTTTAGTTATTTTTTACATATGATTTTGTTTCTTATTTATTCCATCAGCATCTAAACCCCAAGGCCAAGGTTTGAATTGTAACAAATTTTAAAAATAAAAGGTGATCTTTAATTAACAATAAGTATTTAATTAAAATGAATTTATCATGTTTATTAGACATTTTAATTGGGCCTATATAAATAAGTAGTGTGTTTTCAGCATGTTTAGTTCCCCGCCTAACTCTAAGAAGTATAGGAGCCGACCCTCAATATTTTTTCTGCTAATATCTTTCCATGAGTAAACTACTGTATGTATACTTTAAAATGCAGGCTTCATATTTTAGCGGCTTTGGTGCAGACAACAATGCACTAAGTCACGAATACTGCTAAGAAATCATTTACATATTGATATATACAATACACCGCACATACATGTGTAGCGCTAATTTATGATTATGCCAACCCAGTGATTATGCTAAATTTTGAAAGCACCAAATTATATACACATATTACAGTATTCGGAATTCCAGTTTACAATTAGAAATGAAATCCCAATCTTGATCACTTCCATGTTTGAGAAATGCATATCTTACACATATTAATCAGAAATATTTTGACAGTGAAATCCTGGGGGAAAGTGGCAGCGTGCCTGCCAATAAAATGTTAAAATAAAATAAAAATGTTTTTCCTACCTACCTACCCTATCTTTTCTAAGGTTAAAATATGAAACACTATCTATTTATCTTGGCCTTAGCAAAATAAAAAAAAAATACTTATGATACATCGATAATGATGGTCTAAAATCATGAAAATATTTTCAGTAGGGCAATCAGAATGAATGTAGAACAGGGTGCAGGTGAAAGATAATGAAGGCCAGCGTTTTTTTTCCTTATATAACTGGTACCGATAAACGGCACCATTCCCAATGCCAAAAAACCTTAATTTTTCCCAATTCTGTCACTAAAAATTCCCAATTCAACTGTGAAGCAAAAGATTACGACGACATCGTATTTATTGTTAATTGAAACATCGTACAAGTTGACTAATTGTTTTACTTCCGCTGAAATCGAAAGTAGAAAAAGTCGTAATTTGGCGGGAGCAGGGTTTAGACAGCGTAGTGACATACATTTTGACAGATTGAAAGCATGACAATGTGAAATCAAGGGACGTTGATATAAAAACAATAAGTACTTGTTGTTTATACTTTAAAACAAGCAGTAATAGGTAATTAATTTGGAATAAACGCAAAATGTTGCATCTGCATAAATAAGAGAAAATTCTCCTTTGTTTTTCTTCGATGTTATTTTTCCCAATTGAACCGGTACCGGACCCTTTCCCAAAGGATAGAAAAAAATCGTTGAAGGCAAATGGACACTATGCAAACCAACGCATGCGAAGAAATATATACAAGTAGGAAGAATGACTTGATAAAAAAACGATAACTAAATCAAGCTTTTTTTGGAAGAATTAAACATGCTAAATAATCTAACCAAGCTAAGAAATTTTAGCTACAACACAATCCAAAACAAAAAGGGAAAATCAAAATTCCCTTTTTTTCACCCACGGTTTACAATCTGAAGTCATTTTGGTCTTAAAATCCTTATTTGTGTCTCCACAAGTTCCTTTTTTGAAGATTTTTCTTAAGTATTTGAGGAACGTTCCTCTTTATACACTTCAGATGCATTTGTTATGACCAGACTTTTGAGGAACGTTCCTCTTTCTACACTTCTGGTGCATTTGTTATCACCAAGCATTTGAGGAACGTTCCTCTCTCTCTCTCTCTCTCTCTCTCTCTCTCTCTCTCTCTCTCTCTCTCTCTCTCTCTCTCTCTCTCTCTCTCTCTTCAGATTCATTTAGTATGACCAGACATTTGAGGAACGTTCCTCTCTCTTAACTTCGGATACATTTGTTATGACCAGACATTTGAGGAACGTTCCTCTCTCTGAACTTCAGATGCATTTGTTATGACCAGACATTTGAGGAACATTCCTCTCTCTAAACTAAGATGAATATATTATCACCAGACATTTGAGTAACGTTCCTCTCTTACATGTGCACATACAGCGTGTATTTTTAAATACTTTAAGAATCTTAACACATAAGACATTTGAGGAACGTTCCTCTCTCAAATTCACTTTTTCTGAAGACATCTCATGAATGGTCAAACATCAGGCATTTGAGGAACGTTCCTCGCTCGAATTTAATTATTACTGTAGGCATCTCAAGGATTGTCAAATATCAGGCATTTGAGGAACGTTCCTCTCACAAATGGTTGTCTCATGAATTGTCAAACATTAGGCATTTCAGGAACGTTCCTCACTAAAATTTAACATTGTTCACACAGGATACTTACATGTATGAGAAACGTTCCTCTCTCAGATTTGTATATGTTGATACCTTATTCATATTAAATCAGGCATTTGAGGAACGTTCCTCTCACAAATGGTTGTATTTCTGTTGATTACTTATACCTCATGAAGCTTGCAACCCGTGCATTTGAGGAACGTTCCTCTGTCTTGTAATGAATATCTGTTGATACATTGCAAAGCCCACTTAAAAATATCTTTAAAGGAACGTTCCTCTCTAAAATTATCATGTGTTTTGTGATATTATATTAGTTTTTATCGTACATGAAGAATTTGGGAAACATTTCTCTCTTTTATATGAAATGCAGTACATATTCATAGAAACATTTTTTATCTGTACACACTCTACAAAATATATATGAAAAATCATTTTGTCATTTTATAAAGTACTTTTTGAATTAAGGCTTTCTTTAAGCATAATATAAACTACATGTAGGTACAGGAACAAACAAATTTTTCCACTTCGGAACAAGCATGTGCAATGTGCAGTGTTCATGTATCAACTCAAAGGGCTTTTTCACTGAATGGCATTGTGATCACATATTACAATGTCTTGATTAACAGGTTAATACCCACAGTATTTTTCCTTTCTGCCACGAAATTAAACCAAAGTTGTGATGAAGGTCAACTATGTTTCTTTCTCGGTTACATCTTTCCCTCATAATAGAGACGATTCCAATTCCTTGGTCTCCAAAGGTTCATAGCATTTTTTCATCAGTCAAAGTAAAACAGCCTCAACAAGTTTCTTGGGTGTCATCTTCTGTAGGAAAAATCTCACATTCAGTAAAGCGGCATGTTGTATTATCAAAGATGTGTTTCAGGCAAAGTTAGAATAATCGAAACAATGTGTACATAATAACAAGTTTTGATGTATCATCTAAAAATTAAATAGACTGGGAAAATCGATATAAAAAAATTGCAAAACTTAAATTAAAATTTTGAACTTTAAATTGCCCATGAATTATGAAAGCATTTCCATACTGTATTAAGAATATTGCAAAATTGACACTTTCTATCTTTCTCATACTATTTTAATGAAATACTGTAAATGTTTTATATTTAGAGTGTACTATATTTGGCGGAAGTTGATATTTTAATCAGTTAGCGTAGGTATGATTTAGCGCATTTTAATGTTTTATGTTTAAGACATTTAGTGTTGTACTTAAATTAGCGGATGTTTCTTTCCGCCAAAAAGCTAAAAAGAATACACCGCCAAATGTTACACGTTTACAGTAATAACTCTGATTTGCAAATTATGTCTGAGAAAAATCATTCTCCTTTATATCTTGCATGTAACACTAATTTAAAAACTAAGTGACAATTGGAAATGTAAATTATAATAATATATAGGTCTTAAGCTCCATACTCCTCCAATGAACATTTTATATACATGTATGATAATATAAGTCATCATTTTTTAAAATTTATTTCTCTTTTTCCATAGTGCATGTAGGTGTCATATAATATTTCATGGGTTTTATTAATGTATTCTTTAATTTACACGAACCTATTTTCATTCTGAATCTAAATTTGTATTATATTGTAGTACTATTGTGTATTTCTTAAAACTGAAGAATTGATTCTATAATAGGGATTTGTCTAGTAACCCTAATTCCTGCATCATTCTCTACTTTAAAGATAAAGACTTGATGTCTTCCTTGCCCCAGCTCACATTGTAATTGTTATTAATCACTGCCAATCATATATGCTCATGGAACACTAGCTATAGGCGATCAGCTCTGGCAACTATCTGTCCCCTGTGACTTCATGGACAGTAAAGATCAGTGCTGATGCTATGATGACTTGATCGTGTTATAGATAAACATGTCTCTGCAGTCAGAAGATTGAAGCAATTTACATTGTAGAACAGAACTCAAACAGTGAGAGAATTAAGATCTTGTTAGAGTTTTAAATTTTACTCCTTAAAATTTGGATAGTTTCAATATATTTAAAAAACAAAAAATGTAATGAAATTTATATACGCTGTAAAACTTTACTAATTATTCTAGTTCGGGAATAACAAATCTCAGGCTAAAATCTGGTTTGTACATATTAAATGCAAAGAAACATTCCACAGAATTATTTTGTAAAAAAAAAAAATAATAATAATAATGTGAAAACAACATCTCCTGCACTTAATTGTCAGATCTTAAGGAAGCAGGAATAAGAATCCATATTTCCAAAAAAAAAAAACCCTTAAAAAATGTTTTATTGATTTAGAATATTTTATTAAATTATTAGCACATGTATTAAAAGAAATTTTGTACTGAGTAATACAGTTTTACAATTTTTTATTTTTATTGATTGGCAATTGCTCATCTTCCTTCCCTTTTTTCAAAATTTATAGATACTTTGATTATGAAACTATCTTTGATTTAATTGTTAATTTCAGAAACATGCACTCTGAATTTCACAGATTTCCTACATCTTGGATTGCAGTGTGGGTCATTTGGGATTAAATAATTGAGCCAGCTGCAGCAAGGTCAAAAGTCTATGTTATCTGTAAAACTCGAGGTCAATTTATATAATCCCGGTCTTATCTGCTTTCATTATGTAGAAATAATTTAAGAAGACTTTCTTCAACTCTTTGAAAGTACATTCACCAACACTGGAACACTGAGTTTCTAAGAATAAGAATTTCATTGGTGTACATATCAGGCATGTGTTATAAAAATAAACCTTTCTTATGAAACTGAATAGTGCATTTTTTCTCAGCTTTAACCTAATAAATAAATAAAACAAAATTACGGCTATATGCATAAAATGATGGAAGTATCAACTAGTGAAACCGTTACTCGTATTTTTAGTAATACTATTTTTCTTTTATCAGGAACCGGACACTGAGTACACAAGACATGATCTGCCGATCGATCATACATATTAACATGTAAAACTAATATACAATTTTTTTAAGATCTGAATTATAAATACTTATTTATAATTAGATAATGCATATACTTAAGTTATTGTTAAAGTATTAAACTAATCCTTAACAATAGGTGTATGTAGGAATATAAACAAGATGCCCCCTTTGGATTTTTATTAGAATAAAATATATTTTTCAGTGGGATAGTGATGATTGACAACTAAAAGAAACTTCATATTCACTCTATTTTGGACTGCATTCCACTTTGATTAATATTAAAAATCTATTAAAACAATTAATGCAATACATAAAATGTGAGTTTGTAATAAATTATTTATTTATTTTTTTTTTTAGAAAAGATTAATATATAGAAAGACAAAAAAACCCTTTAAGATAAAGGTTTTGTTATATATGTTTCTTTAAATTGTATACATGTAAGCCTTGATCATAATCCTTGCAGTTGACAACACAACAAAATATGCCTAGAATTTTTCTAAAAATAGAAAAAAATTTCCCGGTAAATTGTTTCAAAAAAGTGTATAAATCTTTTATAATTAGTTTTTTTTTTATTTTATCCTTATTATTCTAACCGCAGCATATAGTTTAAAGAATACAATATTGCGTATAATAACTTATTGAATTTGTGTCTTTTTTTTCCCATAATAATTCAAGATAACCAATTTATAGTAAAATTTTACCATGTTTTTTTTAGCAGGGTATGATATCAGACAAGGTCACTATATTGCTAGCAAAGAAAAACACATGATTTTAATATATTAAGTACTCCTGTTCATACACACAAGTAAAAGAGCTAACAATATCTTGGGAAAGAATAAACATTTGACCAGTGACCACTTAGTGAAGCCGACGTAGCGATAATTGTCTCAGAGTTTAAGATTTCAGCATTGGCTATACATAAACAAACTATACGGCTCTGTTTCATCTAAACACATTAATTCTTTGACACACTAGATTATTCCTTTGAGCCTCGTTGAATGTATTCTGCTCTGCTCTAAAACCATCAGAATTAACAGTGCTGAGCATCTAGTCAAGCACGGGTGATTTTTGGATTGAACTAGGTGAAACACAGCTATTGTTCTCTTTATCAAATCAATTAATGTTTTATTAAAAAAAAGTAAATAAGACACTGACTGGGCATATAAAATATACCTGAGGTCTGTCCAAAACTTTAATTCAAAATAGAGTGTTCGTCTCTTATCAATAATGTATAGTTAATGCATGGACATGTTAAATCATGCCAGTTTAATACAAATTAAAAATATACCCGGTAATACAAATTAAAAACACTACATAAATATGTATATTTTGCATATTTTTAGAGAGTATATAGGATACGTTCAGTGGCAAGGGGGGGGGGGGGTAATCTTTTAAGGAGCAAATTCTCAATCAAAGTTTCCTGTGTTAGGAAGCCAAAAAAATTAGTATAGGCATGGACCCCACCCATCCCCACTCCCACCCCCAAAAAAATAAATAAATAAATTGAGATAAGTAAATGATGGATAAAAAAAAAAAATTAACAAAATACAGTAAAACATGATTTTTGCCAACACACTTATGTTGAATTGAGTTACAGCGAAGTGCTTTTATTCCCTGTGACTTAATTATGTATTTTTATCTTCATAACGAATTTCGCTCATAATAATGCAAAATCATCCGTCGATCCCTGGCACTGCTTTTTAAACATGTTTTACTTGTATTCAATATAATTAATCTATTTCCTGCCATGTACAGCATTTGAAAACATATATTATATAGGAATTCATAGAATTTCTAATTTCCCCAACTAATAATGAAAATTATGACTACGGTACTTACTTGATTTGTTTACGACACTTTAATCATTTCTCTGAAATGTTACTGCAAGTGGTGTCATGAGGGTATTCGTTTTCTTTTACATTGAAATCCAGGGCATATCATTTTGTCTAAAATTCAAGTAAATTTCTCATTTTAATTTACTGGTATTTGGAAGTGTCTGACAGCTTATATTTCAGCAGGATTGATCAACTCTGACTAAGTTATTGATAAAATATTTTAGTTTAGTTTTTATGCAAACAAAGCATACAAAGAATTTTCATAAATTGATAATAATATTATTTGCATATATACCTTAATAAATCCTTAACTGTGAAGAACTGCAACATCCTGTTTTATTCAACAATCTTTCGATGTGATAATCATCTTCTGATTTGAAATCGTGAACATTTTGGTAGGGTTGAGAGATGGATGTGTCCAAGACTGATAACACACCCAAGATTATCAGTGTGCAGTGTTTTGATTGACATTTCTTCAGTTAGTGGCACCACATGTTTCCATTCAAATATGTATGGAAGGATCGCAGTTGCACATGTGAACAGCTATCATTTAAATGCAACTGTCGTTTGAAGGGGAATTCGAAATTGGAGAAATTAGACATTGATATATCTGTGTGTTATACTGTGTTATACTGTGATAAAGTTATATAATTAGTTTTGGTCAAAAAACTGCGTGATGAAGTAAGTAGAGACACATGCATGATTTTCAAATGTCAATGGATGTTCAACTTATAGAGAATTTACTGGTCAATGCACTGACTTTTCATAAATTAATCTTGGATGAACTATACTAAAAAAGCTAAGGGTAAGATTATTTTCCTGAAAGATTTTTTCATTTAATAAATATCATAAAATTTCAATTGTTAAAGAAAATTGTTTATTTTAGTGTAAGAAAGCATTGCTTTATACAACAGTTTTATATCATAATAGTAAATGCAGGGGACCAGGGGAATGGTATGACTTTTTTGATCAATTCTTTGTTGTAGATTTATGTCTCTTGCACGATTCAAACAGTTGCCCTTTTTTCTCATTTAAAATAAAAATAAACATTTACTCTTTATTCAGCATGAGATATACATTCCTATATGATATCCAGAGAAGTGACCTCAAAATAAAATGTGATCATGTATACTCCTAAAGGAGTGGTACCAACGAGTTTAATGTCTGTAATAATAAGAGGCTTTTCACAAAATTGAGTGAAACATGAGTTCCTAAAATATTAATTGTCAAGAATGACACGTACTTGATCTTGTGATCAAGTTATGACCCCCAAATTAAAAGTTGTCATATATTTCTTAGGAGGACTACAGATCTAGTGCATTAAATTATTTTTCAAACAGTAGAATCTCAAGTTACTTAAATATTGAGTAAACAATACTTTTCTATTTCTAGATCAGTTTGAGCCTTGTGCTTTCACCTTGTAACCCAAAATCAGTAGGGGTCTTTATTCCTTTGGGAGTACCAGTATACTAAGTTTGATGTCTGTAAAGCAAAGGGTTCCCAACATTTTAAGCAGACATTATTTTTCTGTGTCAGAATATTCTCAACCTTGAAATTTGACTTTATGAAATCAACAGGATTATCTGCTCTTTTACGTTAGGGAGTACCTGGGTGTACAGCTTTCTTCAAATCCAATTATACTCTGATTCATGTATAAAGTTATATAATAACATTTGAAATCAGAAGAGGAGTATTCGACATGAATCCATTGTCAACAGTTGGAAGAGGAATGTTTGTCCAGTCCAGTGTCAAATTTTGAAATGGGGAGAAGAACATTCATTGTATTAAGATTCATGGTAGTAGTGTTTTGATAGGAATTGGTAGAGGAATGTTCCTCAAATGTACTGTTTATATACATGTAGTATGTATTATCAATTGAAATTGACTGATGAACGTTTGTGATATTGTGTGTTAAAACTTGTAAATACAGTGTCAAGTTGAAAGAGGAACGTTCCTCCAGTGTATATAGTATCAATATTTGAAATTGGATGAGGAACGTTCCTCAAATATGTTGTGTTTAGACTAGTAAATTCAGTGTCAATAGTTTGAAGAGGAACGTTCCTCCAGTGTACATGGTGTATATATAGTATCAATATTTGAAATTGGAAGAGGACCGTTCCTCTAATGCCTAATATTTGAAAATTTATGAGATGCCTACGGTAATAAGTAAATTTGAGAGATGAATGTTCCTCAAATGCCTGATGCCTTCATTCATAAGGTATTTAAAAATACAAACTGTATGAGCACATCTGTAAGAGAGGAACGTTACTCAAATGTCTGGTGATAATAAATGCATCTTAGTTTAGAGAGGGGAATGTTCCTCAAATGTCTGTTCATAACAAATGCATCAGAAGTACAGAGAGAGGAACGTTCCTCAAATCTCTGGTCAGAACAAATGCATCTGAAGTTCGAGAGAGGAACGTTCCTCAAAAGTTTGGTTATAACAAATGCACCAGAAGTTCAGAGAGAGGAACGTTCCTCAAATCTCTGGTCATAACAAATGCATCTGAAGTGTAGAAAGAGGAAAGTTCCTCAAAAGTCTGGTCATAAAAAATGCATCTGAAGTTCAGAGAGAGGAACGTTCCTCAAATCTCTGGTCATAACAAATGCATCTGAAGTGTAGAAAAAGGAACGTTCCTCAAAAGTCTGGTCATAACAAATGCATCTGAAGTGTATAAAGAGGAACGTTCCTCAAATACTTAAAAAAAAATCTTCAAAAAGGGAACTTATGGAGACACATATAAGGATTTTAAGACCAAAATGACTTCAGATTGTAAACGTTGGGTGAAAAAAAAGGAATTTTGATTTTCCCTTTTTGTTTTGGATTGTGTTCTACGTAAATCTATAAATGTACTGATTTCAATGGACCTTTTGAAAAGGTGGAGTTCTCTGTGATACATTTCTGACACTGAGTCAGTGTGTGACTGACATCGTTTATAAATACACGTACAGTTTAAGTCAGATTAACTTTTACAATTAATTCGCCCACACAGGCCTCACTAAACAGCTAAAGACCAGACAGTCGCACCGTCTAGCATAATTTGTATGGGCATGAGGAGGATAGTCGCGTTTCACAAAAAAATGGGGACAAGCCTTAAACGCTTACCATATCCCGGGGGTGCTGAATTCATATAAATCCGTAGTTTGTTCTTACAGGATAGCCATTAGGCCTATAAACATGATACAATTAAAAAAAAAAAATAACCGAGGTCTAGGTCGGGTCAAACTTTCCCAAAGTTTTACGTGCATTCATTATTAAATGTTACTTTACGAACGTCTGTAAGAAATAACTGCATGCATGATTTACGTAGTTAAATTAAGTTTTCAGCCTATAATATCTTTAAAATATGATAAAAAATCTACTTACCACATATTCTCGGAGCAGCCATTGCCCGCAATAAATTGGTATCATATGGGGACCAGTTTAAATTCCGCTGCGTTCCGAATGAACATTTCCCAGCATCCTCAAACATTCGTTTTACGAGAGAGAGAGAGCACTCGCGCTCACCGACTTGTGGGGAACTCACACCTGACAAAGGACCTTTCTTATGGGGAAAGTTCAGAATTGTGGGGAACTCTCTCGTTCCCCACAAATATGGTCATGGGGTTTTTTGAATTCTACGTGTTCTACTGATAATATTTATTCGATTTGTGGTCATTTTTGAAAAAATCCCCATAAGTCCGTAAAATTGACTCGCAGTAATTTTCTCACTGCACCGTAAAACGAATGTTTGAGGATGCTGGGAAATGTTCATTCGGAACGCAGCGGAATTTAAACTGGTCCCCATATGATACCAATTTATTGCGGGCAATGGCTGCTCCGAGAATATGTGGTAAGTAGATTTTTTATCATATTTTAAAGATATTATAGGCTGAAAACTTAATTTAACTACGTAAATCATGCATGCAGTTATTTCTTACAGACGTTCGTAAAGTAACATTTAATAATGAATGCACGTAAAACTTTGGGAAAGTTTGACCCGACCTAGACCTCGGTTATTTTTTTTTTTAATTGTATCATGTTTATAGGCCTAATGGCTATCCTGTAAGAACAAACTACGGATTTATATGAATTCAGCACCCCCGGGATATGGTAAGCGTTTAAGGCTTGTCCCCATTTTTTGTGAAACGCGACTATCCTCCTCATGCCCATACAAATTATGCTAGACGGTGCGACTGTCTGGTCTTTAGCTGTTTAGTGAGGCCTGTGTGGGCGAATTAATTGTAAAAGTTAATCTGACTTAAACTGTACGTGTATTTATAAACGATGTCAGTCTCACACACTGACTCAGTGTCAGAAATGTATCACAGAGAACTCCACCTTTTCAAAAGGTCCATTGAAATCAGTACATTTATAGATTTACGTAGCTAAAATTTCTTAGCTTGGTTAGATTATTTAACATGTTTAATTCTTCCAAAAAAAGCTTGATTTAGTTATCGTTTTTTTATCAAGTCATTCTTCCTACTTGTATATATTTCTTCGCATGCGTTGGTTTGCATAGTGTCCATTTGCCTTCATTATCTTTCACCTGCACCCTGTTCTACATTCATCCTGATTGCCCTACTGAAAATATTTTCATGATTTTAGACCATCATTATCGATGTATCATAAGTATTTTTTTTTATTTTGCTAAGGCCAAGATAAATAGATAGTGTTTCCTATTTTAACCTTAGAAAAGATAGGGTAGGTAGGTAGGAAAAACATTTTTATTTTATTTTAACATTTTATTGGCAGGCACGCTGCCACTTTCCCCCAGGATTTCACTGTCAAAATATTTCTGATTAATATGTGTAAGATATGCATTTCTCAAACATGGAAGTGATCAAGATTGGGATTTCATTTCTAATTGTAAACTGGAATTCCGAATACTGTAATATGTGTATATAATTTGGTGCTTTCAAAATTTAGCATAATCACTGGGTTGGCATAATCATAAATTAGCGCTACACATGTATGTGCGGTGTATTGTATATATCAATATGTAAATGATTTCTTAGCAGTATTCATGAATTAGTGCATTGTTGTCTGCACCAAAGCCGCTAAAATATGAAGCCTGCATTTTAAAGTATACATACAGTAGTTTACTCATGGAAAGATATTAGCAGAAAAAATATTGAGGGTCGGCTCCTATACTTCTTAGAGTTAGGCGGGGAACTAAACATGCTGAAAACACACTACTTATTTATTTAGGCCCAATTAAAATGTCTAATAAATTCATTTTAATTAAATACTTATTGTTAATTAAAGATCACCTTTTATTTTTAAAATTTGTTACAATTCAAACCTTGGCCTTGGGGTTTAGATGCTGATGGAATAAATAAGAAACAAAATCGTGTAAAAAATAACTAAAAATCCTTTTCAAAACCTAGCTCAATTACTATTGAATTATGATTGGGCGTGGTATACAAAATAATGCGAATGCGGAGGAAATGGAGAAACATAGTAATAACAATTAGATCAGCTTTTATGATAGCGAGCATATTAAAAATTTAAAATTGGTTATAAAATTGAAACATTTTTAAGATTCAATATCTTATTCAAATTAAGATAATAAGAAAAGATTTATTATACATTCATTGTGAAAAAATCTTTTCTAAAAAACCACTGGGCCAGTAAAACTGAAACTTATGTTGAAGCATCCTGGTATAGTGTAAATTCTAAATTGTACAAATCATGACCCCCGGGGGAAGGGCGGGGCCACAAAGGGGAATCAAAATTTTATATAGAAATATATAGGAAAAATCTTTGAAAATCTTCTTCTCAAGAACCACTGGGCCAGAAAAGCTGAAACTTATGTTGAAGCATCCTGGTATTAGTGTAAATTTAAATTTTCATCATGAAAAAGGGCGGGGCCACAATTTTTAATCGAAGTTTTATATTTAGAAATATATAGTTCTCAAGTCCATTTAACCAGAAAAGCTGAAACTTATGTGGAAGCATCCTAGTGTAAATTCTAAATTGTTCAAATCATGACCCCCGGGGGAAGGGCGTTTGCACAAAATGGAATCTTTTTATATAGAAATATATAAAAAATCTTTGAAAATCTTCTTCTCATTAAAACTGGGCCAGAAAAGCTTCAACTTATATTAAAGCATCCTGTTATAGTGTAGATTCAAATTGTTTTTTTTTTTACCCTTTGCTGGAATTAATTGAAAATTTGCCATGTCAATGGGGAATCAATAGTTTTACATTTTAAATATATACAAAAATCTTTGGTAAAAAAAAATTTCTTTCAAAACCACTGGGGTTTTCCAGAAATTTAGCTGAAACTTTTGGAAGCATCCTGGTATAATGTAGATTTAAATTGTTCAAATAATGACCCCCGGGGGAAAACAATGGGGAATATGTTTAAGAAATTTACATAGAAATATATAGGAAAAATTTTGAAAAATCTTCTAAGTAAACTGGGCCAGAAAACTGTAATATGTGTATATAATTATAGTGTAATTTCAAAATGTTAATTTCATGATCACTGGGTTGGCATTTCATAAATTAGCGTATCACATTTATGTAGAAATATATTGTAAAAATCAATATGTAAATTTCTTCCATTTTTTATTTTTGCAGTAAAGCTTCATGAATTATGTGCATTGTTGGGTAGTGTAAAAAGCCGCTAAATTGTAAATACCCCCGAAAAAAAATAATTTTAAATAATTTAAATACAGTTTTACATGGAAATATATTAGGAAAAATCTTTGAAAATCTTATTTGATAGTTCTTAAACCACTGGGCCAAAAAATGCTGAAACAATATTTGCCAATGGAAGGATTTATTTAGTGTAATTTCAAAATGTCTAAATTAATCAGTTAATTGTATTATTAAACACATTAAATTGTTAATTAAAGATGGTCAAAGCCTTTTATTTTTAAAATTTGTTACAATTCAAACCTTGGCCTTGGGGTTTAGATGCTGATGGAATAAATAAGAAACAAAATCATATGTAAAAAATAACTAAAAATCCTTTTCAAAACCTCAATTACTATTGAATTATGATTGGGCGTGGTATACAAAATAATGCGAATTGGAGGAAATGGAGAAACATAGTAATAACAATTAGATCAGCTTTTATGATAGCGAGCATATTAAAAATTTAAAATTGGTTATAAAATTGAAAGGTAATGTTGAGATTTTAAGATTCAATATCTATTATTCATAATTATTTATATTTGCTTAACTGAATTTATACCTTTTTAAATTTATTTACATATAACGATCGCGCTCAAAGTTTTGGGTCTGATAATGCTTCCTGATTTTGGTCTTTTATTTTTTTTTTTAAGAAAACCATTTGATTTCTGCACCCACTCCTCCTTTCTAAAAATTTTTAATCTGCCTCTGGTAACTTTACGCTGTAAATTTCTATTCTCATTTTAATTAAATTTAAATAAATACTAACAGCACTATCATGCAATTTCAATGACTATCATTTAAGGTATTGATTCAGTTTTCTGTCATTCCTAAAAATAAGTTGTACTGTATCGTTGATTTTTTGCATATAAAACAGTTTCTGCTCATCAAACATCCACGAGAAAGTGTTCTGTTTCGCAGTTATTGTACGGTTGATTTAAAAGGGAAAGCTCTCTGGGCCATGTCACAAGAAGGAAAAAAGTAAAATATTTTTCATACCTACCTACCCACTGTTAACAATATGGTTCAGGAAAGGGCATACATTAAGTCTTAATTTTGGCATGCCGCATGGGGTCAAAAATTACTATTGAGTGATGTGGAGATATACCTGTCTTGTAATTATAGGTAAAGATATGAACACTTTAAAAAAAAAATATACAATGAAATCTTTGAACTGAAAGCAAAATTATCATTGCAGGTTTTCGGGTTTTCACCACAAGAGCAAATTATACAACTTTATTCTTGAAAATGTTAGAGACTGAGACTTGGAGTCAAAGTCAACAGACACGCTTGCATGGACATGAAGGATGTAAAGAACTAGAGTATTATAACTGAAAGCATTTTGTCTGGATTTGTGTATGGAAACAGAAGGATTTAGTATTGGTAAGTCAAGATAGCTGTAAAATCTCATTTTGAACTCTATATGTGAGCAGTACTGTAAACCAACTACCAGGTAGTACACATGTACCCTATTTGTGTCATCTTTTATTTGCATATCTAATCTGTGTTGATTAATTTCCGTGACTAATGAAAGGAAACATTCTCTACAAATATAAAGCAAAATTAATAGTCAGGGCAATTAATAATTTACTATTCACTAGTAAATGTAGGTCATCATGAAACTGGCAAATATTTCTTGCACTCAAATAAAAGTTGGTTTGCAGTACTTCCGTTGCTCTAAAAACAGAAATAATAAAAAAAAAAGCATGCTGATATCATGTATGTTATGAAGCCTAATACATGTACATAGAAGTATATAAACCGGTATATCTAAAATTCCTAAAAAAAGTTGTACTTGTCTAAAAACTGTTCTGTAAAAAAAAGCCAATGTAAAGATATATCGTTTGTAATAACATTGTATTTTTTTACCTGAGAATTAAAAAAGGCAATATGGTGTTAGGAAAGGGCATTTTCAAGAAAGTCTTAAATTTGTAAAAATGTTTAGGGATAAAACATTTTAGAAGGTATTTGAAAGAAGTTAGATTTGAAAAATATTTCTTCATGTAATTTTAGAAATGGGGCCGAAAAATTCAAAAATGAAAATTATCACAAAAATTTAGTCTTGCTGAAAGCCTCATTATTCATTTCATTCAAAAAAAAATTATATATAAAACATTATTCAAAATTTTTGAAATTTTAATGCTAGGCATTACCTTGTTTTGAAAATTTTTTAGTTTATAAATTATTAATGAAATCATTTTTCATGCTTAAAAGTAAAATGTAAAAAGTTTCAATGCTTTAAGCAAGTCAAAAAACAGAAAATTTTTTTGTTTCATTAATGTGCTGTATTCTGTGTTTTGTGGTGTTTTTTGTTTTTATCAAAATTTATTATAAAGCAAAATTAATGTATATGCAGTTTTGAAAGGGTTTTTTTTTTTTAAGTAATTATGTAAGATTAAACCTGTTTTCTAAATCATCAAAATCTTAATTTCCGTGAGAAATAATAAATTTTTTTAAAATTAAAATTAATTTTTATTTCTTTTTTTTAAATCAAACTGAAGGATATGCCACTCAAATAAAAGTTGGTTTACAGTACTTCCGTTGCTCATCAGATTAAAAAAAAAAAGCATTTGAATTACATGTACATAGAAGTATATAAACCGGTATATCTAAAATAAAAAAAAAAATGGTCCTATTCATGATTTCAAAGTAGGTTAAAAGCCTCATGAACATGCTTTTGTCAGAAAATATACATGTGTGCTAACCATGCTAACTGTGTAACAATAATCAGAAAATTTTACAAAATATAATCAAAATTTGGTTAATAATAATTAGTCATTGGCCAATTAAATCCATCAATGATTAAATTAGTACTTATATATACTGTCTCCTGATTTTATGACTTTTTATCCTTTTCAACATAATTATTTTTGAACATTTTTTTTACCTGAGAAAATTAAAATTTGCAATTTGTTTTAAATCTAGTGAAGGAAAACAAATGTTTTTAAAATTAATGTGCTTTGATTTAAAAGACTTGTAAACATTAGATTAGTAATACATGTAGTTTCAATACAATTATTAATATTGATGATTGATTTTTTTTAAGATTTGATAGTTATTTTATTTGTTGAAAAATAATTTTTATCTGTAATGTTCATGTATAATAAAATAATGCATTTCCCAATAAGTGATAAATGTTTCCCACAAGTCAGCAATATACACTGAAGTGTACATTTATTGGTTGGGTTCAAAGGCAACATTTATATGGAAACAAAGTTTTAAGGGTAAAGCAATGGTCAATACATGTGTATTCCTCACAAGTGAACAGTGAGAAATATTCCCCACAAGTCAGCAGTGATAAATATTACCTAAAATTGTTAACTGTGAGAAATATTCCCCACAAGTCAGCAATGATAAATATAACCTACGTGAGAAATATTCCCCACAAGTCAGCAGTGATAAATATTCCCCACAAGTCACCAATGAAAAGTATTACAAGTTAACAGTGATAAATATTCCCCACAAGTCAGCAGTGATAAATATTCCCCACAAGTCAGCAATGAAAAGTATTACAAGTTAACAGTGAGAAATATTCCCCACAAGTCAGCAGTGAGAAATATTCCCCACAAGTCAGCAATGAAAAGTATTACAAGTTAACAGTGAGAAATATTCCCCACAAGTCAGCAATGATAAGTATTACCTACAAGTCAACTGTGAGGAATATTCAATAACAACATACAATTATTTTAACCCATTCTCAATCAAATTTGGGGAGTAAATTGGAATTAGCATGTCTGTCTATCTTTCTATAGGCATTACATATTGAGGGATAATGGTGGCATTATTTTTTTAGGAAATCTCACATCAACTTCCTGTTTATCTGTGCGTGTAAATTTTTATGTTTTTTTTTTCAGCAACTACTATGGTAGCAAGAAGTTTGAAATTTTTTAACACTCTTTGTCGAGGCATATTATATACTGGTAGTGAGATTCATTTTTATGCAAATTCGATGTCAACTTCCTATATATCCACGTGTCTCGAGATCTGTACGCAATTTTTGTTGCAGTTTTTTCACCAACTGACTATCACAGATATAAAAATGTGGTACATGTATCCATTAGATTGAACCCTAGCAATAAAAATCCTGAGTAGCATTCTCTACTGAGACTAGCAAGCTAACCACTATGCTACACAAGTCCTGATGAGGATTGGCATTTAAATCATGTTTGTGATATGACCATTGACTCAGTGGACTTCAAGTTTTTCTCGAAAAGATACAAAAGTTATATCATAAAATTATAATTTTTTAAAAGGTTTATTGGGTTTTTACTCCATAATTTTGGAAATCAAAATAGTATATTTCATTTTGTATGCAAACTTTGAGGATAAACTTGAAAAAAAAAGTGGAGTGAAGACCCACTCATACATTTCAAAACATTGTTTTAAAAAGTGTGTATAGTGTTGTTATGATAGTCGCTGACTATCGAAAAAAGTTATATCATAAAATTATATTTTTTAAAAGGTTTAACTTTGGGACATTTTAATAGCAGTAAACAAAATGAGAACGTGCAAAGAGGTTTAATTATTATATCCATATCCTGGTGCATTTCTTTTTAAAATACTTCTAAGGATGAATAAATCTAAAATTATCAATTATATAATTATATAAGTGATTGTGTAGTATAAAAGTGTGAAAAAATGACTCAATTTGCCCTTTTTGTGTATTATTTTTACAGGCCAAAAACTTCAATTTTGCCATCATGAACTTTTACATTATTTTGGAATTTAAAATATTTCATAAAATTTTCTTTAATTTTTGTTAGCTGAACTCTATTTCAGGAGTTCATTTTTATATTCATAAATCTCATTGATATTTATAAACACATAACCGATTTTAAAAACGCTTGTAAAAATGACAATCCTTGTTGAGAGATTTTTCTTAATTATATATATAAAAATTTTCATTGAAATTTAAATTTACATAAATTCTTAAATCCTTTAATTTTAATATGAAATACTGGGAAAATTTTGGGTAAAAAAAATAAAAAGTGAAGTTATTCATTTCCCATTACATTTTAGATAACTGAAAACATTGTTTTAAAAAGTGTGTAGTGTTGTTATGATAGTCGCTGACATAAATATATCGATAAAATCGTATCATATCCACTTAATTTTGAAAACTGTTAATTTTTACACCTGCAGTAAATTTAATTGTTTAAATATTGGCTTTAAATGATAAAACTTGAAATTGGTAATTGCCCATTGGCGACAATCGATTGTAAATATTATCATCGATAGGCCCATCATTGGCGACAATCGATTGTAAATATTATCATCGATAGATCACAATATTTTTCAAGCCGTATTTCTCAAGCCGAGCAGGTTTAACTTTAATAGTCACCAAAGGGACATCACTCTAATCAGCAGTAAACAAAATGAGAACGTGCATGGTGAAGAGGTTATAATTATTATATCCATATCCTGGTGCATTGTCTTTTTAAAATACTTCTAAGGATGAATAAATCTAACCTTTTATAACATTTAAAATTATCAATTATATAATTATATAAGTGATTGTGTTCTTCCGATTCAATTTGATAATAGTAAATTTGTCCAATTTTACAACACTAAAAGTGTGAAAAAATGACTCAATTTGCCCTTTTTCGCGTGTGTATTATATTTTACAGGCCAAAAACTTCAATCTTCATGAGATATGTATAAGTTGTAGAGATTTGACAGATTTACATAAAGTATACTTTAATTTTAGATGAAATATTTCGGAAAATTTTGATACAATACTTGATATCGCGATTACTTAACTTAGCTGAACTCTTTCATGAAGGAGGTAGGAATCATCTGTTGGGTGGGAGCAATGTGCTATTCAATACAATTAATGCAAGATCGATCATTGTAGCATTTATAAGGACAGATAAGTAAAAAATCCTGGTGGAATACCTCGCTAGACAATCGCTGAACCAGCCTTATACATTTTTGAGAGGAGCCAATCCTAAATTGTCACATTTTTAAAGATATGTTTAATTAAGCGGACTCTTATAGTTAAATTTTCATTGAAAATCGTCACATTTTTCAGTATATAAAATATTCTTAACTTTCCTTATTTGACAATCTACTATTTGGAATTCAATATCTGGCAAAACATCGTGATTTTGGCATTAAATTGTTCGAATCATTCGATTGTCACTAATGTAAACAATGTCATTTGCCCCCAGAAATTTAGACTTTTCTTGACTCCCTCGCAAAAGAGCGGAGGTAAGTTAGATAACTGCGAGGTACTCATTGGTAGTCGCGACATAACATATTGAGATTTAATTTTTTCACCTTCATGTTTGTTGCGCTATAGGCTTATCCCTTGTTATGTTCTCGGACTCCCATCTCATTTATCATCCAATAATAAAATACATTTCCAAAGCATGTGAATTATATTTAGATGATAATTAAATACATATGATAAACAATAGATAAAAATTGATATTTTTGTCCTTTCTACTCTTCATGCATATAACATGTATAAAGTCCACAACAATAAAATGATTCATTTGATTTTTGTTAGGATTTGTTCATCGACATCCAACATATTGTTTACATGTTTATGTTTTACGTTTGTCCCAGAAATCCTGAAAGATTTGTACACTCTGCAACTTTTTTACAGAGGAGCGCACTAAAATCTTAAACTCTTCCATAGTTGAAATAAGACGTATTGGTAAATAGATTTTGCCCTGTAGTCCATCTGGCTGTTTGTCCTCAAAAACTTTAACCTTGCTCATAACTTTGGAGTGAGTGGGGCTATGGCTTTCATATTTCACTGCTGTACACTTGTATTTCTTGTGACAAGACCTTTCTTTGGGTACCACCACCACCAAATTTGACCTCTTGACCTTGAAGTTTGACCACTTTTACAAAAATATATCACTCTTCAACCTTAGTTATAACTTATAACTTTTGCACAGTTGGTGTTAGGGCTTTCATACTTCTCATTGGTATGTTCAATAATTTTTTTGACAGGTCTGCCCAAGTTTTGTATTAAAACGCTTCTGAAACTCATCTGTAAAAAACATTTAATATTGTTGGCCGATTTAAACATTTCGGGAAAATAGCAAAAAAAATGAAAACGTGAAAAAAAAAACTATGAGGTTCGGAGAGTAAAATGGAGGATAGGTCAGGTGACAGGAAACATGAGTACAGTCATGTATATTTTTTTTGCCCCGGTATAGTGTCATATTTGATATTATATGGAATATGTGATTTGCAGCACATTCTTACTGATATTTCTTTAAATTACAGGTATCCTGAATTTTTGTCAACTTCTAGCCAAGATCCTGTACTTAAGCTGAATGTGGAGGACAGATGTACACACAGTACTAGTATAGAGGGTAAGTAGACCATAAAAAAAAACAAGATGTGTTTGTGAAACACTATGCGCCCGGCGGCAACAAAGTTTGGAAAAAGCTATTTTTAGCATTAAGGTCACAGTCAAGGTCACAAAGTCATTGACCTTGGTGTCATTTGAAAGAGGTTGATTAGTGGAGTATGGAGTGGACTCCATGCCACTAAACTGGAAGTGAACACCGCAGTGAATATTTTACGTAATTGAAGAAAAGAAAAAATTGTATGTAAATCTTCATGTACAATATTATGTTTCCATATGTGATCAATTAAAAAAAAATATATTTTTAAAACAAAATAATGCCTCATCAGGTCGGTAAGACAAGCTGTTTGGCTCTTTGTTGACTTGGCTTTTCAATGATTTAAATTTGGCACCGTGTAAAAATAGAATTATCTGTCCCTGGTACATATCGTCTTACAAGTAAGAAAAAGAATTGATAACTTTTAAAGTTTTCTTAAATATGTTTAAAATAACTGAATCAAAATATGTTGAATAATTATTTATTTTATTTCATTTGAACAAGCTTTCATCATCATGATCATGTTCATAGACGTCAAATATACACTGCGAGATTTACTTCCAGTTTAGTGGCATGGAGTCCAGGATGAGCTGTTAAAGTGGAAAAAGGGCCAGAAACGGCCTGTAGTCGTCAAGCAGATTGGATTTCTTAACTTGAATAAATAGTAAAACGCTCCGAATACTGAATTTGTTGCGAGATTTTTTAGGCCAAGCCCAGATCTATTAGTTTAAGTGTGTCCCCCCAAAACATATTGCCATCATGGTGTATTTTAAATTAGTTGAAGGTAGGAAAATTTCTTTCCGGATTTTTTTTTTTTTTTTTTTCAAAATTGTGAATTTCACGATAAGAACTTCAGACTCCTGTCCTATAACATTTTTAAAAATATTTATTGATTTTTTTTAAAGTCACTTGCCCACGGGCATGTACCTATTAAAAAAATTCACTTGCCTCCCCCCCTTAAAAATTCACTAGCCCCGGGCGTCGGGCAATGGGATTTGTCAGACCCTGGTAGTGTAGATTCAAGCTTGTTCAAATCATGACCCCCCAGGGGTAGGGTGAGACCACAATGGCCGATCAAAGTTTTACATAGGAGTATATAGGAAAAATCTTTAAAAATCTTCTTCTCAAGAACTACTGGGCCAGGAAAGATGAAACTCATGTGTAATCATCTTCAGGTAGTGTAGATTCAAGTTTGTTCAAATCATGACCCCCGGGGTAGGATGGGGCCACAATAGCTGATCAAAGTTTTCCTAGGAGTATATAAGAAAAATCTTTAAAAATCTTTTTCTCAAGAACCACTGGGCCAAGAAAGATGAAACTCACCCGGAATCATATTCAGGTAGTGTGGATTCAAATTTGTTCAAATCATGACCCCCAGGGGTAGGGTGGGGCCACAATGGCCAATCAAAGTTTTACATTGGAGTATATAGGAAAAATCTTTAAAAATCTTCTTCTCAAGAAACACAGGGCCAGGAAAGATGAAACTCATGTGTAATCATCTTCAGGTAGTGTAGATTCAAGTTTGTTCAAATCATGACCCCCAGGGGTAGGATGGGGCCACAATGGCCGATGAAACTCTTTCATAAGAATATATATGAAAATCTTTTTAAATCTTCTTCTCAAGTACTTCAAAGCCATGATTAGTGATATTTATATGGAATCAACCCCCTTAATGTATATTTTAGTTTGTTCAAATCATAACCAAGCGGTGAAAATTTTTTAAATCTTTTGTCAAGTACCCCCCCCCCCCCCTCTCTCAATTTTTCAGTTTTGACCTGATCTGTGCTTTTTCCTAGACAATGTGCTCAGGTGAGCCCCGGTCAAATAAAAAGGTCAAGGATTAAAATCATTCCAAGGTCCGAAACATCTCGATCTTGTCTCACAAAAGGGACATCAAAAATTAAAACCAAAATCAAATGTTACAATGAAAACAAGACTCACCGGGGTAGGGCGGTGCCACAATGGCTGATCAAAGGTTTACATAGAATATATAGGAAAAATCTTAAAAAATCCACTGGGCCAGGAAAGATAAAACTCTTGTCGAAGCATCCTTAGGTGGTGTAGATTCAAGTTTGTACAAATCATGACACCCGGGGGTAGGGCAGGGCCACACTGGCTGATCAAATTTTTATATAGAAATATATAGGAATTTTTTTTTAAAATCCTTTGCTCAAGATCAGCAAAGCTATGATTGTGATATTAATATGGAAATATCCTCAGAGTTAATTCAAGTTTGTTCATAACATGATCTCTTGGGTTTAGGGAGGGTTAACGAGGGGTCACAATGGGAGATCAAGTAATATGTAGGACAAATCTTCTTTTCAAGTATGGCAAAATTTAGCTGCAGATCTGTAGCACTATGGTTTTATAATTTGTCTGACTCTAACGCTACAGGTCCCGTAATGCAAAAAAGGTGGAATTTACGGGGCATTGTTTGCGCACTTTTGGGGAAAATTTTTCCATTTTCTAGCATTGGTCAATCAACTACCTTTCCATTCCTAATTCTGGACTTATTCTGTATAAAATAGTGTATATTTTATCCACCTCCCAACCATTTTTAGTTATATCTACAGTTAAAAAACTCACTTGAAGTGAATTTTCAGCAGTACATGTATAACATATAATTTTAATCAAGCGAGTTCTCAAGTATTAAAAAATTTCATCCCCCCCCCCCAACAAGTAAACTTCAATACTGAGCTGACTTGTGTTTTTTTAACTAGTCCATGTGCTCAGGTGAGCGATGTGGGCCCATGGGCCTCTTGTTTTCATTGTAACTTTTGATTTTGGTTTTCATTTTTGATGTCCCTTTTGTGAGACAAGATCGAGATGTTTCGGACCTTGGAATGATTATAATCCTTGACCTTTTTATTTGACCTTAATTCAAAATATTGCTTTGGAATTGACAATATATGATAGGGAATTAATATTTAACACAATATGCTATATATAATAGCACCTTACAAACTAAGACACCGAAAGCGAGGGACCACAATTATTTGAATTTGCTTGATTACATTGCTTTAAATGCTCAGAAATGATGTTTTCTAATTTCAGGTATTATCTCGGTACCTTAAAACTCCAAACGACAGGGAGAAGAAGAAAACTGCATATTTCCGATGTATCTTCACAGCAACATGACCCAAAGCACTACCATTAAAGGATTTGATTTGACATTAAGGAAGTAAAAAAATGAAGGCATTAGTCATAAAGAAAATTAAAGAACTTTATGTCTGAATATTATATCAACAATACCATAGATCTAAAGATGGATTATTTTGCCTTATAATTTATATTAATGCATGTACATGTAATTTTATTCTTTTTATATATACAATCATGTAGTGTTACCATTTTTCACAAAGCTTAAAAAGTTATGTAGGGCCACACCAATTTAATTTCTTGTTCGTCGGACATTTGATTTAAAAAAAGTACAAGCAGTTAAATGATAATATTATTACTCTTTGCTGGGCAATTTTTTAGGCGGAGCGTGAAAATTTGAGCGGACAATTATATTTTTTCTGATTTACAGAGTAAGCAGATATAAAATACAATAAATAGAGCGGAAATGGAACAGAAAATAGCACAGAATTCCTATGGTGCGAGAAATTGAAATTAATATTATTTGTATGGTTTTGTTTAAATAAGCGCGTGGGTCCGACGAACAAAAATTTTCATTAGTGTGGCCTAGATCATTTAGATTCAATTCATTTTTTTCTTCAAATTACCACATGCCAGAATTCATAAGAAGGAAATTTATATATGGCTGGTGGTTGTGGCCATTTTTAGACTATATTGATCTCCTTTAGAAGGAGAGCTCCTTATAAAATTATACAAAAAATGACCAAATTTTAAAACTAAAATGTACAGAATTTTTCTTTGCCAAATGATAGTTCATAGAACCACAATTCTTCAATCATGTCTACTTGGAGATCAGTGGATGGATATTCATATACAATACACAGCTGAAGCAGGTTTTGTTAGGTTATTTTATTTTCAAAAGGAATGCATTATTTTCTTCAGTCCATTAATGTTAAGCTCTTTAATAGAAACAATTGTAGAAGATTTATCATATTTTGTTTAGAATTTTGAAGAATTTGTTAATCACTCAGTGAAAATTATCCCTTGTCATAATACAAATTTTTAAAATGTATGTACAAATACTTTTATGTTGAAATGACCATGCAAGGAAGAAAATAAAACAAGTTTAAGTGTACACTTTATGCTTTTATATCCAAATTGGCTTCTGTGGAAGGAGAAAGGTTCATATAATAGTATATTAATTAAAGGAGTACATAATGTCCTTTAGAATTTCAGTAAAATTTCTTGACTTTCATGTTAAGGTCATACGCAACGTAGTTTTAACTTTTTTGGATTCTGCCTTGGAGTTGAAGAGTTCCACTAAATGAAGGGCCTGTGTGCAATATTTTTAATGTCTATATATGGATTTGTACACCTCTTCTTAAACAATTTTTGATGGAAAAAAATCTGGAATTCATGTTTTATAATTTTTGTACATTTTTATTTAAATAATGCAAAAATTTTCAAAATTCGATATCTTTTCAAAACCCCTGGAAACGCATGCTGATTTTTTGTCCAAGAACATTTAATGATATTATAAGTTTAAATTTAGAATATCTTGGAAAATTATCAGTAGGTAAGGTACGTTGTGTATGTCCTTAATAGACATGAATTTAATTCGAATGGGGGTTGCATTCCATTCCATCTTGTTTTGAAAATGAAAGGATTAACTTCCATTGTAATTGTCGTACATCTCAATACATTCATATACTAGAATGAGTAGATTATATAGAAGAAATTTGAGAAAAAAAGGAAAGGAAGTAAAAGTCAATACATGTGAATAAGGCCACACTGTCCGTCGGACATTTGATGAAAAAAGTACGAGCGGGGTAGCGGTTAAATAATAATATTATTACTTTTTTGAAGGCAAAATTTTAAGGCGGGGCGTGAAAAAAATTGAGCGGACAATTATATTTTTTCTGATTTGCAGAGTAAGTAGATTAAAAGTACGATAAATAGAGCGGAAATATAACAGAAAACAGCAAAGAATTCCAATGGTGCGGGAATTTCAAATTTATATTATTTGTATAGTTTTGTTTAAATAAGAGCGCGCGGGTCCGACGAACAATAAATTTTATTGGTGTGACCTAATTCCTAGCTGCAGAACTGTAGCGTTGTGGTTTTAAATATTAGTCTTGTCCATAAAGCACTTCTTCTTCAATCCCGTAATGCAAAAAAAGGTACCATTTACGGCTGAAGATTATTTTTTGCGCACTTTGGGGGAAATTTCTTTTTTCCAGCATTTTCAATCAACTAACTTTGTACAGATCCCGTAATGCAAAAAAAAAGGTACCATTTACGGCTGAAGATTTTTTTGCGCACTTTGGGGGAAATTTCTCCTTTTTCCAGCATTGTTCAATCAACTAACTCTCACTCCCGAATTCTAGACACATTCTGTAACCAATCTGTATATTTTATCCACCTCCAAATCCTTTACAGTGGTAAACTGATTTGATTAGAATCGTTTGTTAAATTGCTGAAAATACACTTCAAGCGAGTTTATCGCCTGTAGAGACTGCTATCAGGCATGTAGCATCGTTTTTGAAAGTGGAGGGGGGGGGGGGGGCAACCAGAGAATTTTTTTTTACTTACCTGTAAAAGTTGACAAGCATAAAAAAAAAATTCCCAACTTTTTCCAAGGCCAACTTCCTTTTACTTCCAATTTTTTCGCATACAATACATACAATACTACATTTCCTTCATATCACTATACGGTGGTAAGAATTGGGGGGGGGGGGGGGGAACCAACTTTACAGTGGACATTCTCAATAGTAAAGGTAATGTTGGGGAAAAAAGTGGGGGGGGGGGGGGGGATATAAGGCTAGGCCTCCTCCTGGCCCCCACTGTTGCTACGTCCCTGACTATAAAGAGTTGAGAGGTGGATAATATAAACAGATTGTTGAAAGAATGTGTCTAGAATTAGTGAGTGAATGGTAGTTGATTGATCAATGCTTAAAAGTGGAGAAATCCCCCCCCCCCCCCCCAAACTGCGCAAAACGCAATGTTTTCACTCAGGACCAGTGGCTTGCGAGGATGGACTAAAACTATATTAAGAACTTCCTGAACTAGTTTTGAAATTTTTTCTCCGGAATTGGGGGGGGGGGGTTACTTTTTTCTATGCATAAATAAAGACAAATAATAACCCCATTGAATATGTCCGTAGAAAAAGTTCTGTCCTTTATGGAGTAAATGTAAATGTCTCAATAATTTCCGAATATCCCTCGTATATTGATAATATTACATTATACCATCATTGTATTTTTTTTAAGGTCAAGGCAATGACTCAGAATTTAGAGGAGTAAAGGGCTTATCGAGCCCAAAAGGGCAAGGAGAGCGTTGTTTTTCAATTTTAAAAAATCAGTGATCGTCATGACAGAAAAAAAAAACATCAATGAAAGTTTTATATGATTCAACGATTAAAACTGATGGAGCAGACATGTCAAGTTTCTTGTTTAAAAGTCAGAGACATGCAAACCCAATGAGACCATCGGAGCTAACATCAGCTTAATTTAACCAGTATAAGTTTTGTATTTGAAATCTTTTTTGGCAAAATGTAGAAAAACAATAAATATCGAAGCATACCAATGAAAGGTGTATTTTAAGAGGCAAAATGACAAATTACCTTAGAAATATCTTGGATCAAAAAGTTTTGTGATGTAAGGGTGATTTCCTTTTACTCTTCTGTATCAAATTTAAAACGTTTGGGGGTAGCATGAAAAGGACAATCAGACTTCCAGTGAACATTTTAAATGTTAAAAAAGAACAACAACAAAAAAATACGATCATGGAAATAGAAGTGGGAGGATACTCCACCCCTCCTGATTCTATCACCCCCTCAAATCAAGGGTTTTTGATCCGCTCCGCTTTATGCGGGCATCAAAAACCGGAGGGCAAGCCCCTTCTCAATTTCCTAGTGCCTGAATATGTTCGTTTGAGCGAAATTCGGATGCAGATGATATAACTTTTCTGAAATTGTTTTCAATCTACTGTATTTTCAGTTCAATTTAGGAATGAAATATCCTTATATTCACTAGGAAGGTCAAAATTGAAAACATTTATCTACATCAAAAATTCAAAATACACAAGACTGTATTGAAATGTTTTTACATTAGTTTCACAATTGAAGCACTGTTTTAAAGTGGTGTCATTTTGTAATTTTTGAATTTACTACCACCCGGTAATCAAAAAATTACAATATGACAATGGGATTTAAAAAAATTCCTCTAAATATGCCTGTATCCAATTCTCAGACGACCATGTTATCATACATGTACACGTACTTGAATGTACATTATGCATGGAATCTTCTTTATTCTACGAGTAAATTTTGAAAAGAATTTCTCAAAGAGATTCCCACTGTTTATAAATAAAATTGAATCCACATAATACACGCACGATATTTTTCAGACATGCAGAAATTTTATGTCCTTCTTTCATGTATATGATTGCCACGTCTGATTCATATTTGGACGTTCTTCTGACTATACCAGTACTAACTATATTTAAGACCAAATTAAAAGTAAATTTTATGCCAAACGAATAACTTTAGCTTTTCTATTGTCATCTTTCCTTATTTATGAAATAATACAGGCACGTAGCAACAGAGAAGGGAAGGGGGGCTCCTCCCCCCCCCCCCCACTTTTTTCCCAACATAACTTTTACTATTGCAAATGTTCATTGATAGGCTGGTTGCCTCCCCCCTTTTGTGGTACAGTAAATTGAAATAAGGGTAATGTAGCATTGTATGCAAAAGAAGAAGATACTGAAAGAAGTTGGTATCCGAAAAAGTTGCCCCCCCCCTTCACCCACCCCACCCCCACGAAATAGGATTTTCGAGTTTGGGCAACGTCGCAGCTGTTGCAGAAAATATTATATACCTCTTATATATTTTTTTCTGCAAAAGCTCCGACGTTAATTTCCGTACTAGCAAACAAAGAAAAGCACTTAACTATTTATGTTAATTTTACATATTTATGAAAAAGGTCAAAGTTAAATTAAATAAGTTAAATATTATACATTTATTGACGGAGTTAGAGGACAACATGCGCTTTGTCAGTCCCAAGAACCAACTGTCTGTCTGAGGATGCTAGAACGACAAAACGCAGAACTTAGTCAATAAATGTTTTGCTATACCTTTCATTTTCATTTTTTTTCACATACATGTATTTTGTACTATCTACCGTGATGTAACCTCCGATCCGTCACTTCTGAACACCAATGAATGAAAATGAGATTAAGCTCCGCCCATTCTGTGACTGAAGCGATCCAACATCTCATCGACCGGTCCAACATCTCACTAAGCGGTCAAACATCGAATGTTTTTATGCCTGCTCAGCAAATCATTACACATTTATTGACTGGGTTCGAGGGCAACATGCGTTTTGTCGGACCCAAGAACCAAACTGTCTGTCTGAGGCTGTTAGACTGAAAGCACACAGTTTGGTTCGAGGGTCCGACAAAACGCATTTAGCCCGAGAACTCTGTCAATAATTATTTTGTTATACTTTTCATTTTATTTTATTGACATACATGTATTTTATACTGTATTCCGTGATTTAACGTTAACTGTTTAACGAATGAAAATGAGATTAAGCCCCACCCATTCTGTGGCGTAAGCGGTCCAACATCTCACTCAACAGTCCAACATCGATTTTTTTTTTGTGCCCGCTCAGCAAAACATTAAAAATGTTAGAATTTTTTCGTTTAGATTTATGTAAGAACAAATTTTTAAAGGTATAACAATAGATATGATGGACTTTTTTTCGTTTATTGCTTTGTATAGGAACAATTTTAAAAGGAATATATTGCAGACATATATGTCATTGCGTGGACCCTGGGGTCCACGAAGTAAATATATAAGCGAGGTTTAACAGGATGCCTTGGGCAAACGACAGGCTTCGCATGCGCGAGAATGCTGGAGAGTTCGCACCTTAGGTAACCTGCCCGTAGAATAATTCGCCCTATTCGAATTAGAATATGCCATTATTTGCAAATCGCGCTTTTAAATCCACATATCGCATTTACATAGTCATTGGCGGATCCGAATTTCCCTCTTATACAGTCATATACCTTTTATGTACAAACTAAACTTTGATTCTATTGTACAAGCATTTTAAAAAGTAGGAAGAACTTAGA